TGCATGTTGGTCTATTACTGGATTCTTTATTTGTTTCATTAATATGTGTTTATCCTTTAGACAATACCACTCTGAAACCAGGTAGGTCTCCAATTCATTTTCAAAACTGTACTGAATACACTAAATCTTTGGCTTTTACACATGAATTTTAGAATCAGTTAATCAATCTCTACAAGAGAAAAAACGCTGCTGGGATTTTCATTGGGAATGTATTAATATAAAGAAGTCCTCAGTTGGAAAAAATAAAAAGCAAGAAAACAAATAAAAAAATCCAAAGAAATGGTCAAACAATTGGGGCACTTTACTAAAGAAAATAACACAGATGGCAAATAAATATGCTCAATATCATTAATCATGAGGAAAACACAAGTTAAAACCACAATGAGATATCACTACACATGTATTAGAATATCTGGCAAACTAATAAAAACCTGACACTATCAAGTGCTGGAAATTACATGGAGCAACAGGAACTCTCATACATAGCTACTGTGAATGTGAAATGGTTAAACCACTGTGGAAAAAAAATTTCAGATTCTTATAAAGCTAAGCAAATACCATAAAACCCAGCTGTCTCACCTCTATTTATTTACCCAAGTGAAACTTGTTCACACTATTGATACATTGGATTAAATAAAAGAAGCCAGACCCAAAAGGCTATATTCTGTACCATCCCATTGATAAGTCAATCTGAAAAAGACAAAACTATAGGACAGGAAACTGACCAAAGGTTGTCAGGGACTGACGGTCAGGGGAGGGACTGACTACAATGATATATGAGGGAATTTTTTGAGGTGGTTGAACTGCATGAGTTTGTCAAAACTCATAGAAGTGTACAGATGAATTTTATGTACATAAAACATGTATCGATTTAAAAAAAAAAGAAATTGAAAGGTTCAGACTCTGATTGTAGCACTTTGGAATTATTTAGAATTTCACATGTAATTGTTATCTCAAGACAACATCTTTAGTAAAATTCTGTGGAAATTTACAGAAAAGACACAGAAGACCTAAGAGGGAAAGATGTTGTTGTTGTTGTTATGTGCCGTCGAATCAGACCTGACTCATAGCGACCCCTCCTTGGGTTTCCTAGGCAGTATCACTATGGAAGTA